TATTCATTGGTATGTTTCCTTTCTGGCTAGACTGGATACTTGTGTGCTTCCCGGCGTGTTTTCAGTCCGGAAGTCCTGTTACCTCAAGTCCCTGAGTCCACGCCATGAAAGTTTGTACGTGAGGCCGCTGACCGTAGCATGTGACATCTGACATGTTTCGGCCAATGTTTTTGGCTTGATTGTCATTCAGCTGACGAGCTCCAAGATGACTGCCAGATGAGTTATGATTTTGCTGATTTTTTGCACCAGCTGTTTCAGGTTTGGAAAGTTACTTTATCTCTTCACATTAAGCAGGTGTACAGTGTCTTTCGTAGCTACGATCGTTGACAGTTTGATTCTTACAATGTCACCTTTCTGAATACTGTACTCGGGAGAGTTATGCACGACAACGCATACGGTTTAACTTTTAGAGACGTTTGCAGCTACTAAGACCGATCTAGGGTAGTTATTTTTCACCGATAAGAGTTTAATGTCACAATGATGTACTGTTTGTTTGCTGATCGTTTTGAAAGTGTATCAAAAGGTTTACGCGTTTGAAAACCGATGCGCTGCGACGCTGCGATATGATTTGCCACCTTCATAAACACCAATACATGTATTAATTTTTCAATGTAGACTATGTTGCTCGGACGCGATGAGGAGATCATTATGAAAAAATGGAACGATGTGCAAGCTTGCCTATGTTTTCACATTAATGATGATGAATGAATTCCCTCCAAATAGTAAAACGAAAGACATCTCACGCTGCACGGGGTATTCCTCTGCGTTGCGGAAACTATAGTTAGTTCGCTTTGTCCATTGTCTTTTCATTCCCCTGTATAACTCCATACTCTGTCATCGCAACCGCCGTCCGCGAATCTAAGAAAGTACAGACATTTAACTAATATTTCAGTTTGTTTTACTTTTTTCGTAGATCGGGGTTAAAAGTATAATGTTGTCAAGCTTTTAACGTTTGGCTTCCAGCTGGCGTCTTTCCTGCAACTGCATTGATGTGAAAGTTTTCAAAAGGGTAAGGAAGCTTATGGTCGTGTGTGTGTTTTGTTCAGACGGACACCTAACCTTGTTCCCAGGGTTCTCTCTCTTGCTTCAAGAAAACACCCCGGCTGGTCATGTAGATTTGTGCATCAACAAATTCTGGAGTGGGGGGAGGTCGTCTACTAAATGCTGTAGAGTGGACAATGAAATACTATCTGGGGTAGGGAGAAAAATCTTTCTTCAAAATGGCACTTGATCTCAGGCTGAAATTATCCAGCCTGAGTATGATATCCTGAAGAGAGGGCCTTGAAATTTTGCAGAGCAATGTACAATGTACAATGTACAGCCGTTAAAGCAGTCATGGTACGCGAAGCTCATTTTGTTCTTGAATGGTGAGAAAATCTCTGTAATAATAGATCAAGCATCAAAACATATAAATCTTAATGTTTTTGCTCCCACAGGGATTTTGCCCAGAGGGCGAAATCCCAAGGAGAAACTCTAGTAACTTACGCGTATATTAACAGCGTGCAAAGAAAGTAGTTTCTGATAGCCCGGGGCTAGTGGATTTTGCTATCGGGCTAGTAAATTCTGATGTTAACTTGCCCGACGGTTAAGTGAGGTTTTTTGAGCAATTAGAATAACAGAAGAACTACGAAATCAATTCTGCTCATCAAAAAGTGTCTGGGGCTAGTTGAAATGACATCTGGGCTAGTAAATACTAGGTTCAGCTTGCCTGAGCGACAAGCTGTAAAAATGACTTTCTTTTCACCCTGATTAAGGAAAGTACTTACAGCTGAAATATACAGTCATACAGTCAATATACAAAAAATCTTGATTTGCTTGAACAGGGGCCGCAAGGAATTGGTAGGTAATGATGATGTTTCTATTGTTTACGCCCGCAAGCATGAAATGGTTAAGATGATGTAAAGACAGAAAATCCCGAAGGGACCGCTCAGGTAGATTTTGTGACATTTACTGTGCAGTCATACTTTGATACTCTTTTGCATTACGCAGTGACATTCTGTGGAGCAGTTGTTTTGAAAGTTATGGACCAAAAGACACTCGTTAAGCACAGATGAGGTTATAAGGTGTGTTTAACTGTGTATATACAAACACTTGGAAAGTTTGCCAGACACGAGTTCACAAATCTTTGATTTATATTGGAAACCTTGCCAGACACTCTTTCTCTCTCTTTGACCGGACTCAGCCCAAACAAGCAAGAAGAGTGAACAATGGCTAGCTTATCACTAGCAGAAGGATCGACGATTACAGAAATTTGCCGACAATCAAATTCTGTGCTGACTTATTCCCTGCTCACAAATGTCCTTCCATTATAAAGTTTCAAATAAGACTAGAATGCGCGAGTGTGAATCGTCAAACATTGTTTTAATTTCTAAGGCTTACTTTCTGGCAAATAAAATGAACTGAATGTAAAAAGTGAAAGAGAAATAGGGAAAAATTCAACTTTCTTATGGTTTAGAATATACTATTCTCGAAACTGAGGATGTTTTGATCAAAGCTGTTTAAATCGAGCTGAAACTGTGCATGGAACCTTGGGTTTCCTGTATTTATCCCACCTATTGTATGGAATATGTGTGAAAATCTTCATTATGAATCGGTATATTTCAAAGAGCTACACAACGAGCAAGAATGCTATTGACTGACAATATACAGAACAGGGGCAGCTGTAGTGTCAACTATTACTAGTCATAGTTATGATCAGTCAAATTGCCTTGTTTAATTGTTATTTGTGCACATGCTTGTTAGTGGAGCTCCACGCGCGGCGCACCGCATGTGGGCGGAGCCCCATAGCTAAGGAAATGTGGTAATCACGTGACCGTACAGCGAACGAGCGATCAAGTGACTGTCTGTCTGCACCACAGGCATACCAATGTAAAATAATTCAATCAACAGGTATGGCAACCCAAATGCAACTCAAGGTATTATTTGGATTGAAATCACATGGCCGCCCGGACTTTTAGAAAGAAAAAACAACAACAAAGTCGTGTCTTTTTCGGCATTATTTTTTATGTTTACACTAACGTGGATAACAGAGAAAGAGTTAGAGCGAGTTATTGAAAACAAAGGAGATGAATTTCGTAGGAAGAAAAACATGAGAATTCAAAGTGGCGGGGGAGAAAATGAGAAATGCTAGCAGCCAGCAAGGTGAAAATGAGCAGCAGTGAAAAATAAAAACGAACATGAACACAGGAAACATAATATTGGGTAAGCCATATACGACAATTCCTCCATTAAAAATAATGTGTACCTAGGAAGTTTGACATTTTAGTTGTGCAAAACAGCATTGTAGTCGTGCAAAAACAACGGCAAGGAAAAGACAAAAAAGTGTGCTGCATGTGCAAATTTGTTTTTTTGCTAATTAGATCTATTAGTCTTGAAGCCATTTTCATTGTTGTCCCTGTTTAGCATTACATGATTTAATTTTTTGTTTGTTTGCACGTATTATTAACCAGAGCTTCGTTTTTAGCCCTGGCTAAATCTATACATTGTCTTGTGATCTCCACTGAAACAGGTAACTATATACTGTCATGGCTGCAAGGCGAGTAGATGTGTAAGCAAAATTAATATAATAAATATTTTTTAGCTGTAAAGCGGAGCGAAGTAACACATGTACTGTATGTCGCCGATGTGACACCATAAAGATGCTGATTGAGTTTGACTGTTTTTACTGAAGCTCAGAAGTGGTCATTTGTAAGGACCAGCTCTGTTGCCAATAAATCTGTTAAAACTACGTGGTTCTGATAGTCCACGAGCCATTTTGTGAGAGGTGGCTACAGTGGAAAAATGCAATTTTCTAGCACTTCCCCTAGCCTGTACACAGACATTGTTTTATTTTTCTTTTTGTTCTTTTCGAAAACATTGGTGAGCTCGCGAGCGCACAAGAAAGAAAATAAAGAACATCTGTAGACATCTTTGGGAGAAAAGAGGTTAATTAAGTCCCTCCCCCATGTCAATGCTTCATCATTACCGCGTATGTGTTTCCCGTACCAATTAAATTGGACCAATCAAATTAGAAACGTAAATTGCTTGTGTAATTGGATTAAGTATTTTACAATCAAACAACAATGACACTCGGAATCGGGAGTTTCTTGAAGCATGTCTTCTTAGACTGCTTCTACACCAAAAAAGTCGGCTAAGAAGAGGTCCGGAGCCGAAACAAATCGGCACATTGGATTATTGTAGGATATGTGGGAGCTTTGTATAGGCAATAGTACTGGTCAATTTACTGTGGTTATTGTTTCTGGTCGGCAGGATTTGCCCTCTGATGAAAGCGCATTTTCTCTGACCTCTTTTGAAGCATGAAGCTTCTTATTACGGCTGAATAAGGGTTCCAATTTTCACAAAGTGCCTTCTGGATCTGAATAACCAAGCGATTTTCTTTAGTCCGTGAATGTAATGTTTTTCTGCAATGCTGTATCACGCTGGGTCCTGCTTGTTAGTTTTGGTTGGAGAATGTTAAATTATTAGGGATAGTGATTTACAGGTTGTGTGTACTCTTGCAATAAAGCGTGACATTGAGTAGAGCGGATGCACAAGGCAACTGTAATATCATCACGACTGCGCCATTCTTCGGTGGTCCCAACAGTGTTACCTCTTGCGACTGTGGCTGTACGCTTTGCGACTACTAGGGAGACTTTGCACAAGCAAAACCTGTGTAAGACATCAAAGACTGTTGACATGTACAACAAATGTCCAGTCTTGAAAGATCTTCACTGCAATAAAAACTCTGTTGCTTTCGCATAGATCTCTGAGGTCTTTAAAACTCCCTCCACAGCTAATGTTTTGATTCTCGAATTAGCAGCGGTCTGTTGCTCTTGTGTTTCCGGTCTCATTTACTTCTGTCACCGAGTGATGCAGTTCACAGTGAACGAAGTCACATGGTACAAGTTTCCTCCCTTGTCCTTTTTCTTACTCAGCACTTCGTGCCTCGGTCGCCCTTCGGACGACGGCCTTCGGTCATTCTTTGGGCGACATGCTGTGTGCCAGCGAGGATATGGCTTGCGCCTATTGATTTTCAAAATGGTGAACAACAAAGTCGATCTGGGTCAGATAAGAAGGGAAGAAATCGTTTACAGTACATTCATAAAGATCCCATTGGGCTAATTAATCGTGCTAAGCGACAGGTATAGACATTTTTCAAGGTGAGACTTAAGTAAGTATTTCATTTATTCACACGAAACTCCTCTGGACCGTGTGTTTCAGTAGACACATGAAATTGTCATTATGTTTAATGGTAGATTGGACTTCTTCATCTTTGATGAGCACAGGAAAAAGGAGAAGAAATAAGAGCGAAAAAAAGTGATAATTTTCTACACAATTTACAATTTGCGGGAAATGCTGCAGTCATTTGAAATATCCTAGACCAATAGCTGGAACTATTTACAAGCCGTAGAAAGATAGAAGAAATTGAAAAACATATAAAATTCTTATCAGGTAATAAAGAATGACAAAAATACTAAAGTTAATGAGTTTCTCATAAAATAAGTAACTGGGAAGAGAAGAGTTAATGTAAATGTCATTGTTTTTTCTTGCAAACGATACCTGGAACCATTCCTTGAGGAACAAAGTGTGCACAATCAGTGCTTGCTTAATTGAAGTAGAAATGCTTGGCATACTGTATTTCGCGGACTGGACTTGTAAAATGCGGACTAGTCAAACCACGGACTTGTAAAACACACACACAAAAAAATAACTCTATTAACACGATCATCTACTATTCAAAGAACTTCTCAAGTGAAAATAAGAGGTATCATAACTCTTAACTTACATAATGATATACTCTTAAACTTACATAACTCTTAGTAAGATTCATAAACTAATTTACTGTCATTGTTATATGTATCATATAACATTGTTAAGTAATAGCTGTATCTAGAAATGAACATGATTGTATTGTAGGTGTTTAATAGCAATAAAAACTACATAACTTTGGAGACTCGAGCCGACAATTTTTGCTTTGTAACAAAACTGAGTTAACTTTTTTACTAAACTAACAATCCCAGTTGCTACATACATCTCTGAACTGTTCAATGACGTCAATAACAATAAAAAAAATGTCACCTTGAAAAAAGAGGTATCATAACTCCTAACAGTAACGTATGCAATACAAATAAATCTACAAAGAAGATTCATAATCTAATTTAGCATCATTGTAATCTGTATCATATAATATCGTAAAGTAACAATCTCAGATTCTACAGTTCAACATTGTCAATAACAATAAAAAAGTCTTAGTTTTCAATGTCTGATGGTTTCAAATAGTAGGGACATGATATGGTGACATGATCGTAACAGACCACAGTCCAACTAGAACCTTACAGCAAGCCTTTGTATGATCATCTGTTTGTGTTCTTGGAGAAGAAACGGTTGGAGATCGGCTGGTCTTTGCCATAAATTTGGCTCGAAGGAAGGAAAGGTCACCCTGATGCAGAATGGGTTGACATGGTAGTACACATTTGAAATATCTGGTGACGTTTGTTGCTGACCTGCCTTGTAATATTGTCGGTGAAGTCTTGTAGTTAGCACAAGGTCATCAGGTGGATGGGGTATGGTTCCGTCTGGCTTCAAGGAGTAGCCACAGCCATAACATTGTGTAACCTTGCTGTCCAGAAATGCAAGTCTGGCGAAAACTAAGATTCCTGGTATAGGCTTTGGATGCTGGGGGTACGTAGGCATTGTGTTTTCTTTGACTTGCTGGCATTCATGTTGTTGACAAGGATAATTATTAATTATATTATATTACTCCAGGGCATCTAGTTTTGAAGCTAGAAAAAATAAGGTTTTGTACTTTTTGCTGTGAATTGCTCCTTTATCAGAATGTTTATAAACATATTGAAGAGAACAAGCTACTCATTGGACATGTTGTGTGACAGAAAGCAGGCGATCCAAAAATGAAACTATTATTATTATTGTTGTTATTATTATTATTATTATTATAATTATTATTCAACTGGCTGCTTAAAGATTCGATGAAACACAATTACTATTATGAACGAGTGATAAATCAATTTCTTCTTGGCCAAAACTTCTTAAATTGTTTGTAACTGGTGCATATAAACACCTTTTGTAGCTAAAAGGTCAAACAGGGGTTGTTACGCTCACTAAACCTTCGGAATAAAACAGCCTAAAAATAAATGAACAGAATTGTTAAACGTAAATTTGTTTTTGTAAAAGTCTGTTCAATGTTCAGTTTTATCCGATTAATGTCGCTATTCCGCTTGTAAGATACGCATGCAAACGTCACGCAAGTAAATGACGCACGCAGGCTAAATAAACAACAACTACATGATGGCGTAATAAGGGGGGGACACAGCCCTGTGGCAGGTTATAGCGACTTCGGGTTATGCGCACAAAATAACACAAGCCTTACTTATCGCCCCACTACCGTGGGGTAGGACAAGAATCTTGGCAGAGCCTTTCTTATCTCCCCAGCGNCTCCAGGGCATCTAGTTTTGAAGCTAGAAAAAATAATGTTTTGTACTTTTTGCTGTGAAATGTTCCTTTATCAGAATGTTTATAAACATATTGAAGAGAACAAGCTACTCATTGGACACGTTGTGTGACAGAAAGCAGGCGATCCAAAAATGACACTATTATTATTATTGTTGATATTATTATTATTATAATTACTATTCAACTGGCTGCCTAAAGATTCGATGAAACACAATTACAATTATGAACGGGTGATAAATCAATTTCTTCTTTGCCAAAACTTCTTAAATTGTTTGTAACTGGTGCATATAAACACCTTTTGTAGCTAAAAGGTCAAACGGGTTGTTACGCTTGCTAAACCTTCGGAATAAAACAGCCTAAAAATAAATGAACAGAATTGTTCAACGTAAATTAGTTTTTGTAAAAGTCTGTTCAATGTTCAGTTTTATCCAATTTACAAATGCGGAAAAAATCTAAAAAGAAAAGTCGTCCGCAGGAGCCTATCCTAAGTCCTCGTTCTACAAGTCTGCATTTTACTAGTCCATGTTTTACAAGTCCAGTCTGCGAAATACAGTATGCTGTAATGCTTTTGGTTAGTTGCTGGTAAAATTGTGATTTGTACTCACTTTGAGTGCAAAAATCTGTTGGCCACTGAATTGTATCAGGATTTTCTTTCACAAATACTGTCACTGGATTTGATGCAAAATGAACTGGTATGGATCGCAGCTTACGGAAATCTGATTCCTTCAGAGCCTTTAAGGCATCTGTGAACAGTGTGTCGGCGATTCTACGAAGACTGGGAGGACCTGCTGCTTGAATGCTCCTTAAGCTACTACAGGACCTCCCAAAATTAGGGAAACCAGTTCATTCAGTAACTGTTAAAAGAAACAAACAAAAAATTACTTAGTGGTGGTTTTCATTGTGTGGGCATTTAAAATGGGTTTCAAAATGCAAATGTGTGTGTTTCATTTACATGAAATGAATGGAAATTAAAATTGTTTATTTTGGGTTGAGGGGCTATAACTAATGTATCCGTTGTTGGAAAACTGGCATACCTCAACAAAGATGAATATATAGATTGATGGTTTGATGGTTATTAAATTTTTTTGCAGCCTCTTGGCTGAATAATGTAATTTTACAATACTGTAGTAAAACTGTGATAATAACATACAATAATTTAATAACAGTCCATGAGTAAATAAAACTATAATAAAAAAATTACAAATACTTTTAAAAATGTGATGGTGCTAACAAATGTTAAAAGCATGAAAATTTAATAATTCTATGAAATTTGTCTGATTATACCATCACAGCAATGGCATATATGAAGTAGTTTTTTGTCCAATTGGTTTTCATATAATTTGCGTACTTAAAAATTGTGCTGTTTTCTTAAATTGTAACCATTGTGGCAACGAGTTGGAGGCAACAGGTTTCTAATCTTATGGTTTGGGTCGAAAATAATGCTTCTAAAAATGGTGTTTGAAAGCTGGTCATGGTGTTCCCTTCGAGGTAAAATCCTGAAATCTTACAACCCAGTGTTGTAGCTAGCGCCTGGCACTATAATTGATATGGCCCGTTTCTCTAAGCCCACTAGCTCATTTTTTCAGGTATTGGGGAGAGCGTGGTAGAAGGCTGGAATAGCCTAATCAGTTATTAACCTAATACATAGAGTATAGTACAGCACTAGGTCAATAGGCAATACCCTAGACCGTTTCAACTGCAAAGAGAGTACAGCCGCTTACTAGCCTTTTTGATTACCTCATTTATGTGAGCGTTCTGTGAGAGGGAGGAACGTATTGTTACACCTGGCAACTTAGCACTGTCCATCACCTCTAACTCCTTTTTGCTGACAATTACTGGATCAAAATTAGTTGCTTTCTTGGCAAAGGAGATTCTGGAGATTCTCTGGAGTACTTACTGGAAAATGTAGTGTGAAAAGGACGATCAGACTAGTTATGGGAGTTAAGGGGTGTCAACACAATTTTTATGCAGCACAAGTTTCAGACTCAATTGATGCTGACACTCTTGAATTATCAACTGTATCCACTGGAGAAACTACTTCCTTATCTGGAAACTCACCCACCATAGAAACCAGCTGCCATTCTTCAATCACGCCAGATCCACTACCCAGATGTGATATACCAGTATCTCTACCTGATCCTCAAGCAGCTCTGCTGATCACTGTCTGTATCTTTGCTGTGAAATATATGAAATGCTCTTGATCACATGTCATATCACATAGTTTAGTTTTCTTTCTTTATTTTCAGCACAGAAAAAAATATAGAAATTACACAAGCAATGTGGTGAGGAAGCCCAAAAGGAAACCAATTAACAGAGTAGAAAAAGTATACGTTTACATGTTGCAATCAAGCCAATTGCTCACATGACAGAAACCCTTGGTTTAACTGAAGCCTTGTCTATTATACTTAACTATATAATTTAAGTAATGGACGTATTTGCTTATCTCGCTGGTTGCAGATTGTCTGTACATTGATCGAGTAATAACCTTTACAGTTCATGAGTTTGTGAGGGGCTGTTATTCTCAGGTGTGTACCATCAATGCAGCCAATGGTACACGGAAATCCACCAACACGAAAAAGACCTTGCTTTATTTTGTCTCTTTCAAGCCCTCATTGATGGAAATTTGATGAAATTGCCAACCTTTGCAGTTAAGGCATGTGTCACATATTATACAACTCAGCCGACAGTTGATTTCTTGAAGCCTAAAAATGTGTCTCTGATTATGTGGAGAAACAAATGCAACGCCAAGTACATAAAGGTAATCAACACTTGCATTTGTACTGAAATGGCATGGTTTCTGTTTGTTTCAGGCGTAATGTTGTCTGCAACAAGTCCAATGATGTAGTTAATTNCAATCAAGCCAATTGCTCACATGACAGAAACCCTTGGTTTAACTGAAGCCTTGTCTATTATACTTAACTATATAATTTAAGTAATGGACGTATTTGCTTATCTCGCTGGTTGCAGATTGTCTGTACATTGATCGAGTAATAACCTTTACAGTTCATGAGTTTGTGAGGGGCTGTTATTCTGAGGTGTGTACCAACAATGCAGCCAATGGTACACGGAAATCCACCAACACGAAAAAGACCTTGCTTTATTTTGTCTCTTTCAAGCCCTCATTGATGGAAATTTGATGAAATTGCCAACCTTTGCAGTTAAGCGTGTGTCACATATTATACAACTCGGCCGACAGTTGATTTCTCGAAGCCTAAAAATGTGTCTCTGATTATGTGGAGAAACAAATGCAACGCCAAGTACATAAAGGTAATTAACACTTGCATTTCTACTGAAATGGCATGGTTTCTGTTTGTTTCAGGCGTAATGTTGTCTGCAACAAGTCCAATGATGTAGTTAATTACATCTCGCCCAAAATGATATTGACATCTTAACTCGGAGTCAGTGTACGACATTAATGGGTTGAGCTGCTGGCCAAAAATTGTCTTTTTTTTGGGAAGTTGGTTTAGCGACAAGTTGCTCTGTAAAAGTTGCAACTGTTGACCAGCCATGTTTGTGTTGTTTATCCAGTGGATAAAAATTTATACTACCTACCTTACCATGGATAAATTTAATTTATCCGCTGGAAAGCGAGTGGATGGCGCGATCCACCTTTTGAACAACAAGGTGGTGCAAGTGGATAAATTTTATCCACTGGATAGTGATTTATCCACTGGATAGGAGTTATCTGCTCTTTGAGCAAGCGGAGCCTGGTAGCTTTCTTGCAGTGTTGCTGCCACTATGTCCTTTGCCGGGGGATTTTAAACTCCCATGATGAATTGATCTACGGTTTTATCTTATCTTAGATTTCCTGACGTTGTGGTTTACGGCATCTTCTACACTTAATTAGCTGAGTGCCATGTTCACTGATAGCACGTAAATGCTTTATAAATGTGGCTTTTCCTGTTTTCCCATCCGATGTACAGGGAAAGATTTGCTTTTCTTCCGGCAATTCAGCAACGTCCGTTTTTTTTCAAAGACAGAAACTGTGTTTGCTTCTAGACGGGCAAAGTCCAAATTTTCAAATCGTGACTTCCTCATGTCGTGCATTTTTGTACTGCTAGTATTCATGCAACTGCATTGAGAAGAAAACAAACACCCAAAACAAGAACGCATTTCTCACAGTATTCGTACAACAGCAGACTGGTTTGTCAAATATTCTATAAATTACATACATACATACATACATACATACATACATACATACATACATACATACATACATA